GTATGGTGAAACATTGTGACTTCGCATCCAGCGCTGGGCGTGTCGAGGCTGTCCGCACCGATAGAAACTTGTACTCCAAGAAGCTCGTGGAGTCACAGGAGCAAAGTTGTTGCCATGAACCAAAACCACAACACACACAACACACGAAACACACACACACAAAACACACACACAACGCACAGCCACAGCCACACGCACAACGTGTTCAAATGTAAGTTTTCTTCCGCAATAACCGATCAGATCAGGGCCTGGCTCAAGATTTCCCGAGGACGAGATTGCTGAGATGAAGCGCAAGTTCAAGATCATGTCCCACCAAATTGAGCAGTTGAAAGAGGAGACAGATTGTCAGTGACACATCTCACACTGCAGGGCAGATGATTCCCTTATGTTGTAAGCATGAGACAATTTTCTCTGCTTCTGGCATTGCATTCAATATATATACTTGATTGGATCATTTTGGCATCATTCTGAATCATTCTTTCTAAGATGCAAATTTTTGCTTGCTAATTGATTGAGAGAACTCAGGAGATCAAAGAGAAGGAGGAGCGTCTCAAGAGGGTGCCTTGGAGTTGACAGCCCTCTGCTATTCCACAACTTGACAAATGGAAGAGTTTTGTTTGTTGATTTCCTTGAAGAAACCTTGCTGTACGAAAGCACAAGTCAGTACAAACGGTGGATTGGACGTGCTTGTTGAGACTGCCAGGGGCATCATGCTCACAACAGAATGCAGAAAGAGTTTGGGCCGCAGAATTTGTTTGCATCAACTTACTGAAGCCTGTCAGACTTTAGTACTGACCTGATATGAGCATCTTCCAGTGACAACTTAGATGATCGCATCCATGAAAGCTAGCTCAGGTGCGAATTCTTTAAAGACCAGATGGAGAGGCGCGAAATTGCAATCCAGTTTCCCGGTTTCCTACATTCCATTTCGCGAGGGAGTTGAATTCTTGTGCAAGCCCATCGACGGAGCTTGTGCACTTGCCGTGGTTTCAGGGCAAAGCGGCGGCAGCAAAGCCTCAACAGCCACAAGGACACGCAGCAGGCGAACGCCCAGCGTTGGATTTGTGTTTCGATTTCAGAGCATTCTGGACAAAACCTTTGATGGCTGCTTCAGGCCGAGATCAAAAAGCTGGAGTCGAGGACAGCAAAGTGTACAACATCGATTCTTTAGCTGCTCGAACATTAAAGTTGGAACCAAAGAAACTCTGTATCACTGCAGCAGGTGTAGTTGCAGCACCTTTTCCATCATTTTCCGGCAGGATACTGGAGGAGGAGGATCGACGAAAGCGCAGGGCAGCCCGGTGAGATGGTTTCGAAGCCCATGCTATTCTTGAAGTAGGCACTAAGATTATGGACTCCCGGAGCCTTGAAAAGGCATTTTTGTATTTTTGGTATACATACACAGTTTGTACACATTGAACAGTTATTTGTGCTTCGCCGCTCGCGCTCTCAGAACAAAAGAAGAAATATGAAGAAACGATCAGTGAGAGAGATGTGTCGGGAAGCTTGGACAGGGTGCCGAAATCGGTTGTAAAGCGACTGTACAGGGTCCAAAACGAGTTATGTGACGCACACCTCTATTTTGAATACTTGCTTTTAAAATTCAATTCTATTTGCTTTTGGAGGCTTGGCACCCAGCTGATCCATCGAAACGATGAGCTGGCGCTTCAGTACGAGAAGATAAAGTCATGCTTTGCATGTTTGGCGAATTTAATGGCAGACCAAAGCGGTCGAGGAACAGTGATTGTACAGTAAAGAAGTCATCGGTCAGGTCGAGTGGGTCAAGTGAACAGAGTCGGCTCTAAGTGCCAAGATAAGAGTGTGACACATGGCAGGATCCAGCAGCGTACGCTACAGAATGGAGAGCTTACTTACAAGCAACGCTTGGAGGCGTGGAGGGAGAAACGCAATGAAAAAGGTTCAAGTCATATTCATGCATTTAAGGCAGGCAGGGTCTGTGATGAAGAATTATTTGATGTGAGTCAATTCAATCACACTCCCTGAAACTTGTGGCTCAAGCCAAAAGTGTGGGAGTGTCTCTCTCACAGGAAAAGGACGCAGCGACTCTGCAGGAGTTCCTTGTACATTTTTCTTTGCCTTTTCGTGCCATGGAGGATCTGGTACGTTTGCACGCTGCCGAGCAGGACAAGCTCACGGAGTGGTACAAGTCCATGGGCATGGAGAAGGCGAGCGACCTGGCCTTCTTATACACCTCCTACGATGAGGCCCTCGCAGGTGCTGGCCGGGCAGTGGCTGGGAGCTCGCGCGTCGCGAGTCCGCCCGCCCAAGCCCAGTGTGGCTGCGATTGCTCCATCGTCTTCTTCATCTCGGGCTGCCCCTCAACACCAGTCAGGTGGGGGAGGTGTCGCCTCCCTCCTTATTCGAGAGGGATGGCAACAGGCTGGAAAAGTTTTGCGCCCCTACCGGGGCCGCAACGATCAAAAAGGTGGTGCACACCTGGAAGGACCTTGTGCGCTTCATGGACCACATGGGGCTTCGTATCCCTGACGCCCATGCCTTGGCCACGTTCGCGCGAGAACATCAGGGACCTACACTGATCTACACCTCCCTGGGCTGGATGATCAGGAATTTGCGGGTCCTTTGCACTTGTCAGAAACGTCCAAAGCTGCTCCGGTCCGGAGGACTCGGCTTGCCCAGGGCCAGTCCCAGACCGCAGCATTGGGGCTGGGCATGATCGCACACCTGCTCGGCGCCCTTGAGTTCTCTACGACGCACCCGCGCTGGCCTATGTTATTTCGCTGCGTTCGCCATGGTGTCCCCTATTTTGCTGAGGTTCTTGAGGCTGAGAATTTGAGCTCGTATTCATGTCGACGCGTTCTTCCAACTTTAGCTGGCCTTGTGAAGTTATCCGACACGGAGCGCCTCGCCCTCGGGCAGTGGACAGATTCGACCTGACAGGCACGTCCCCATGATCGTGGACCTGCGGAACCTCGTTTTCGTCGGTGCTACGGTTCACTTTTTGGTCTGCCCAATGCCGTGTGCTCCTTCAACCGTTTCCCATGCTTCTTCCAAGCAGCTTGTCGACGCCTGGGATTCTGTTGCTAGCATGTACTTTGATGACTTGATAGCATGTACTTTGATGACTTGACTGTCCAAGACCTCGGCAGTGTGAAAGGTTCCGCTCAGCAGCTCATTACCAGTTGGCCACTTAGGTTCACCTTTTCAGCCAATGCAGAGCCAGTCCAATTTCCTTGACCTCATCCATGATGTCAGTGCCTGCCACCTCAGTCGTCCGGTCCGCTTTTGGGCGAGGGATCGCCTGTTGACCAAGGTCACTGACTTGATGCACGAGGCTGCCCAGACCGGGTGATTGCCTCCCACCTCTGATGCAGCGCAGGATGAACCCCGTCCAGGTTCTGCCGACGACCAGTGCGATGCCTATATGTGGTTACCGTTGAGAGTACGCTCTTCGACTTATGGTCTGACCATCCTACCAAGCTCGCGCAAGTGGAACTTTTGACAGTTTATGTTGGTCTGATTTTTACAGCCAGCCAGGCTCGCTCCTGTCAGGGGTTGCGACAACATCGCTGCGTTGATGTCCCTGGTCAGGGGACGTAGCAACAACCCGGAGTTGGACTCCATGGCAGGACGTATCCATGCACTGCTCTATGCACTGTGGAGCGTTTTTGAGTGGGCCCGGTCAAAAGACAATTGGTCGGATGGAATCAGCCGACAAGGAGTTCATGACCGGTGGTATCAGGCCCACGAGTTTCGATTCCATCATGTGCCTGTTCCCTTCATCCTCTTACGCCTGCCTTACACGATTATAAGTCACGTCGTCTCCACATTTGCGGTGCGTCAGTTCTTTTGCAGCTGTCGGCTTGGCGTTCTTTTGCAGCTGTCGGTTTGGCGAAATGCGCGCGAATTCTGGGGCACTGATACCACTCTGCAGTGGCCATGCGACTGCAATTGCCGGATGCTGCTTTATATATTCTTTCCTACTCCAACCTAGTCTTAGGACCGGCTTTTGGTATCCCCTTGACCACTTTAATGGGGTTAAGCTACCCGGTATGGGTAGGAATCGAATATCCTGGAAGGGTATGTGCCAGCGGTACAAGTGGCGTGGGCCACCCTGGCCGGGCCACATTTTCACAATTGAATCATTTCAACTTGCGGTGAAAAAATGCAGGCCCGTATTTGATCTGAATGCTTGCAGCCAAATATTCTTGTAAAAAAAAAGTTACGAAACTTGGACTAGAAAGGTCAATGCAAAGCCAAAAGGTGTCAAAAAAATCATAAGACAAAAAACAGGATACCTGTGCCCATTCTCGGCAAGCACAGGCCCAGAAGTGCTTTTCTCCGCTCAGGAGTCTCGTGCACTTTCCATCAAGCTAGCGCAGCTGAAACGAGAGTTGCACATTGGCAAGCAGCAGGTGCCAGCACTCCGGGTCGATCTTTGATGCCGGCTGGACAGTGTTTTTTTTGCAAACTCTTAAATCTTTCTTTGTAAGCGATTGTTCAGCATGGTTACGGTTCAACATTTCTTATGCTATTTATCTTTCTTAGTGGTTTAGATTTGGAGAGACAGCTTCTCTCCGAGTTGAAGATGACACGTGTAGTTGGAGATCCTAAACGGCATTTTTTTTCCTTTTGGTTGTGTTGAGTGCTTGCAGGTGCTGAACATTGATGACCTCAAGCGAGAGGCTGATGGTTGATTAGCATTTGACCACATTTTCTTTAATCATTTTTTCCAGTCGGTTTGAATATGCCGCGCGTACCTTAGCCTTAGGACTGCCGCTTGTGAAAGTGGTGGGTGACATATAGATGACGACCGTTTACATGTTTATTCTTATTCTAGGAAATATCAGGAAAAATATGAGGGCACCTTCAATCAGGTCAAATTTTGCAAGGGGCCATAGAATTGAGGCCCTTTACCTTCTTTTTTTCGTATCTAAGTTGGTACCAATCCATTTACCGGAACTCACTTAGCATGACTTAACTGCTAATGACACCTTACTGCTCGGTCCTATTTTTCACTTCCGACGCTCCTGGTTGCGAATGCATGATATATGGTTGCCCTTGTCGACCGATTTTGTTCGCAGGTCTTCCAGCTTCAGCGTGAGTTGCTTCAAGAAAGAACGAAGGCAGTGTTTGAAAAGGAACATGCTTTAGATGTTTCGATGACTTTGTTTGTTTCGATATGGTTCTGTGCTAGGTGAAAGCCTTGTCAGAGGACGCGACTCGTGGAAATCAAATCCGAGTATTTGAGTACGAGTATTCTTTGCAAAGAACTCTGATCTTGCTAGGCAGGTTCCATTTTTCAGTTTAGCACTCACCTTGTCTAATATTTTTTTCATGTAATGACAGAGAAGCATTCTGTTTTTCTGCATCGAGGAGCTGGAAAACCCGATGAATGTGCACCGCTGGAGAAAGCTGGAAGGCCAATCCGTGGAAAGTGGACCCTAAATCCGCTGGAAAGCTCCAACCTAGAAGCAATGGCCCCCAACCTATTAGCAATGGCCTCCAACCTAGTAGCTTCTTGTTGCTAGTAGTAGTGTCATCCAACCTACTAGCTTCTTGTTACTAGTAGAAAAAACTCTACGCGATTTGGACATGTGCAAACTGTGCACACGTGCGCTCGCGTGGCCATTTCCTGATCTCAGCTGGGCACATGAAAGGATGCCCGGCTATAAAGCTTGAAAGACAATACCTGGACTTTCGAAGTGGCGGGTGAACAGCTCCAGAACAAGTGAACAGTACCAGCTTAGCAAACACTATTAGGCTTGAGAAGAGGCCGTTGAGAAGACATCTTGATTTAATGTGGCTTCCAACTACAGTGTTTGCGATCAATATTTCGCCTTCAGCTATCATCGTGATCAAATTGACCAAAGTTCTCAAACACTGACAAACACAATCTGCTAAGTTACCCAATCTGCTAAGCAGTGCAGCTCTGCAGCTTGGATCGTTTCGCAATGGCTGCACACAGTGGCACACTAAGGCCCCAAGAACACAAACATTAGCCGAACGTGTTTCTCCACATGTAGCAAGATAAAACACAAATTCAAGAATGCTGTTCAACTGTTCCATGCTTATTCTTGCAAGCTCTAGTTTCAAGTGCATTTTTTCAAGGACACTTCGCAACATAGTTTTTGAGCTGTTCGTGCTAGGCTTTTGGTCTATTTGCTGGCACTGGTTCTGCCATGGGGTCAACAAGTGGATCCCAAGGGAGATGAAGTGTGGCCCTCAGACCGCTCTCCTCTTTCGAGAAGTTATATACGTGTTTGTTCTTTATTTTAACGCTTTTGTGGTCACACTGTGTTTGCGTAAGGACACCAAGAATGCAGGCATCCGAATCTCAATGAATGGCTGCTCGGCATAAGCTTTCCTAAAGCTTAGGCTCAGTCTTTTTTCCTCAGAGTCTGATACAACATATAACTATATAATGGTATTTGCTTCAAACATAATCATACAAAAGAAGACGAGCATATTGCACAGCACTCCACCGTGCACCGCACACTGCATGGGAAGTCCTACACTGATCGACCTTGTTTTTGCATCTCTCACTGGATATGCAGCATCCAATTTAATCAAGATCAGGCACTTGGGTCCCTCTATTAAGCCTCCCATTTTTAGGTGGCCTTATTAAAGAGGCCCAAACACATCCTTCTCACATATATACCTTTTCCTTTTGTGCCAGGGCAAGACACGGCCCAATTTGTGATGCTGGATTCAAGATGGCGCCGCTTGGCAACTCTGTATCTGCCTACCGCATATGGAATAGCCAGGGCTGCTGTCCTTTATTTAGTAAAGGTCAAACTGAGCACCGGTTGCAATCGTGGTGAGTGCTCAATCACCCCCTGAACGGCTTTACAGCTCAGTTTCAGTCGATGAATGACGAGGATGGCTTTACAACGTTGACGACAAGGACTGTGGATCTTTGTTCACCGATCCTGCAGATTTGGAGAGGCGACTCCGACAACCGAACACCGAGAGAAAGGAAGCATGGCGAAAGGTTGAAAGATCCGAAGCAAAAATGACAGATCTGTCTGAAACAGCAAAAACACGAAGAGAAGGGCTTCCTGGAGGCCTTCCATGGGCTTTTTCACTTCCTTCTTGAGGTGCTACTTACAGGGCCTCCGCGCATCCAAGTATGCAGCAACTTGGCAAGTCGGTTGGAGGCCATTGCTATTAGGTTGGAGGCCCTCTTCGGAAGATGTGAAGATGCCCCTACTTCCTTGACGAAGGGCTCAATTTGTTCAACTCTTTTTCTGCGTTCAGATGGTTCAGATGACCACTTGACTCTCTTTGCGTTCTCAGGAAGGCTACGGGGTGTTTGTTGGTTCTCCCACCAACCGAGCAGTCACACTGCGGTATGCCACGAAGGAGCTTTTCTACTGGCATTTGTGAGGTTGTTGAACCCAGGACAATTCGTTGGCTGAATCTTTTTTAAAAAGCACAATAAGCTACTAGGAAGAAGTGCATCGCTACTAGTAACAAGTGCCTTACTAGTAGTAACAAGGACGCTAGTAGTAACAATTCGTTTGGCTTGAAGCTTGTATCTCTGGACATCACCCTTAGACATGCTGTCTTGGAAGAGCATGTTTGAAGAAAGGGGGTTCTTTAGTCTTGTGCCAGGATGCCGATTCTCCTTCACCAAACTATGGCTCCCGTGTGTACTTGACGGATGGTTGCATAGCTCAAAAGATGAGAGAACTGCACTTGGTGGAATAGTTTCTGATCCAAGCTGCAGTGTTCAAGGAATTTGGAATAGTTTTCCTGTCCGAAGGCCCCAGACGTTCCTCTCAAGCTTTGATGGGACTTTTTTCATCTTTTCTCTCAGATCTTCTCAGTCCACTTCTCACTTTGATTTTCTCTCAGGTGAGGGCTACACTTTGTTCTCGCCAATGGCAGGAGAAATCTCCTTTGATGTGGATGTTTCTCTTGTCCCTGCGGGGATGTCAGGATCCCAGGGTGACATCGGTGAACATTAGCTCTTTGAATAGAATCGAAGCAACAGCATAGAAGCACAGAAGTATTCGGCGATATCTTTTTTTTGCTCAGGAATGCGGCCGTCTATTTGGTTTCAATGAACCGCTTTGGGAGACCTGTCTGATTATGTTGAATGACGATGTCTATTATGTTATTGTTTAAACATTATTTCACTCCATGCATTGTCTGCATTTCATTGAACGATACAGGTTAAGCCGTTAAACATTGGTGAACAATGAGAGAAGAAGACACAGGGAGACATGTGTCACTAGCAATCTGACACAATTCAGATCTGAAGATCTTTTCAAAGGAACATCGCCAGCATTAGCAACAGCGGCGTCATGAACGTGGCTGGCTGGCGGCGTGGACTGGGATACTGTGATGCGCAATGCCCAAAGGACCTCCGTTTCGTCCAAGACACAGGCCTGGGTGGACATATGTGATGATGTCTGTGTGGATGTGGATGTGAATACGTCGCAAGTCCTCGGTTTTTGCACTTAAGAGTTCTTAACTTTCCTGATCTTCTTGTTTTCTTCCTGCAGTTTCCACAGCTGCCAACCTGTGAGCTGTTGTATTTTCTTGGTCAAAAAAGCGAAAGGCGTTCATGTTTATCATTGATTCGTTTGAAGCAGCTTGCCATTGACACGTGGAGAGGCTTCAACAGCCAAAATCGCTATGCATCTTGCTGTCCCGAGATGGAGCCTTGAATTTTGAGGGCCATCATCCACTGTTCTGCAATATCAAGAGCGGTGTCCACCAAACTCCGCTTCGTTTGTTCTAGCTTTTCGCTTTTCGCAGTGCCTTTCGCACTGCTTTTGTTTTGATTCTTTTCCATTTGCAAAAAACATCGCATTGTTTTGGTAAAGACACATTTTGCGTGTTGCGCTGAGGATTTGTTTGAAGCGAATCGCTTTGTTTCGGCTCTTACAGCCCATCCCTGCAAGTCCATCAAGGAGGGAAAAGAGCAAAGAACAGAAAAGCAATAAAAACAACATTTGTAAGGAAAAGAAGGCGTTTTTTGAATTGGAACAAGTATAACTTAACGAAGTTCAGAAAATAGGAGGAAAGAAATTGAGGTGTGTCGGCGCCTTTAATGAGAGCCTTCGTGAAGGGCCTTCTTTTCCTCCCTTGAATTTATTAGCGACGAGCAACGGCAATAACGAGAACAGCAGAAACAGCCTAAAACGAGACAGACAAATGCGGCATGTTGATCTAGATCAAAGACAAACACACGCAAAGGCTTGGGCAGCAAAATGTGAGACTTGCATAGAACAGTTGTCATGTGTATTATGTTCATTCATCATCATTGTATGAGGAGACCGTTTGCGACGCGACCATGAACAAAGACTGTGCTTCAGAGTGCGATTCAAATGGTGCTGATGTGAACACCTTCCGCGACGAAGGCAGGTCGAATCCGGGCTTCTATGGATATGGAAGGAACTAGGTACGCAGAAGATAGAGCACAAGTTAGATCAAATTAGTATGTTTATGTATGTTTCATATTGTTTCATGTCGCTTTAGACAGAGGTTAAAGAAGTGAGGGACTGCATCGTAGAAGTTGGAAGTCACGAAAGGTAACTTCAGCTACCTGAGTTCTCCTTGCTGTAGCAAACATGTATTACAATCCGGAGTTGGGATTATGCATTGAGTTTGGTCCTGTAAGAGGGGATTCTGTTTGACGGGGGGGGCCTGGATCAATTCCCCCCCGCGCCGTCGCTGTTTGGATCACATCCATCCACCTTTGCCGTCATGGACTTCTACCAGGGTTACTTGTGATTGCCTGCTACCTTTTGTTCACCCCCTCCTCTCTCAAGTATCAATGAACATCTCGCTGTCCGAAGTTGGAAGCATCAATGAACATCTCACTGTCCTCTATTGTTGGTCTCCTTGCGATGTGAAGTGGTGTGACCACAAAACCATTTGAGAAACAGTCTGAAGTGGCCCGGCAATGACACATTTTGAAGGAAGTAGTTTACCTTTGTTCCTCTTGTATTTTGCATTTGAGTTGATTGTAGCCTGCAGGCCCAGGGCATGCACTCTTCGACAACGTGAATGTGATGCTTCCCTTCACGGTGCCAGTTTTCTGAAGACTTTACTGCCGGTAAGTGAAGTGAGCAAGAAGTTTGGAGTAAATAGGTCCAGAGCAAGGTTCAAGAATGGCAGGAAGCAGAGAAGTGGACAACACAAGCACGACTGAAGAAAACACCCGTGGGGTCACCCGCACCTTTTGTGCCGGAGCGACAGGTGACGACGCGTTTCATCACGAACAATGGCCATGCCAACGGAACTTTGGTCGACCCTAGGTTTTATCCCGTACGGCTGTTCCTTAATTGTTTTTTCCAGCTTTACGGTAGTGGTGCTAGTAGGCTTTGAAGAGCGTACTGGTAGGAAGCCAGCTGCAGCAACGCCGAACAACTCTTCAAACTATCGAAATGGTTTGGCAAATTGTGCGTGTGAAGAGTGACAACGAGAAGAAACAAGGTGTGTGCATGTGTGTGGCCTTTTTTGATCCCCCTTTGAAGTGGCCTTAAAGAGGCCCACTTATTTTATTCGATTGCATGTCCTGGTGAAACTCAGGAAATTGAGCAAGAGCTGATACAGGACAGCATGTCGGAGTGGCTAGACAGTTGCGGGGCAGTGCTCGTTCGTGTTTCTCAGAACATACAGGACGCATGCAGCATATTATGCGGATTTGGTACCAAATTTTTCGCTTCGTCTCGAAGGCTGGACGGAGCTTCAAGATGACTCTCACCGACCAAAGCGCGGCAGAGACTGCGAAGAAGTTCAAGCGCCTTGCCTTCAAGCGCCAAGTGTGCGGATTCGTCCGTGGACGGTTTTCACATCTTGAAGCACCTTTCCTTTGTCTCAACTCGGAGTGGACACCATTGAAACAAGAAGATTCGACGGTTGGATCCGGGACTCGTCTGATCTGCCTTTCTTGTAAGGAGCAAAAACCAATTTGGAGAAGTCTATGGCGCCCTGGATGAAGGAAGTTACTTGGTAGGTCTGAGCAAATTGCGGTTCTAGATTCTGAGGTGGCCTGAAACAGATGGGTGAGGCACACTGCGTTGATTGACTTAGCTCTCCTCCTTCATTTTCTCATGTGGGGAGCGGAATTTCCGTTAGCTTCTTGTTCCTAGTAGCGATGCCAGCCCCTAGTAACGTCCTTTGCTCCTAGTAGCCCAGCTTTCTATCAGCGTTTATGATGAGTGCCACGTGTCCGCTCACGTGGCCAGTCCCTGCGAAATGGCATGGTTTTGGTGATCGCGCTCTGGTCCGATCCCGGTGAACTCCTCAGATTGCGGTCTAAAGCAGCTAAAAGTCAAACGTGTTCAAACGCATTGCAATCGTAGTTTTGCTCTGGAGAGTTTGACGTGACTGAAGACAACAGCACACAAAAATTAATTGTATATCCTTATTCACAATCATTCAGGGCAAGCATGTCATGAGATCATGGCAAGTCCAACGCTTGAGGTGGCAACATGAACTGGAAGCTTGGCACAAAGCGCGTGGGCATCAGACTAAAGTATTTGGGGGAACCTAACATCTGATCACATGGAAACAGATAAGAGGTGAAGTCAAACTGACGCAAATGACCGGCGCCGAGAAGGCATTGCAAGCTATCGGGGGTAATTGCGACAAGAACATGATAGAACATGTCTTACGTAAACACTGATAGCACTGAACCCGCAAAGAATCCGTGGCCCGGCCGTGGTGGTTCCCTTCATCCTTGAGGTTGGACTCTTGTGATGCAAACAACAAGACTGTCTACAACTGCATTCACCTTAGACAGGACAGCTGCACGAATCGTTAAGCTTACTAAAATGCCTGAAGATCTTGAATATAGTCGCTATGAAAGAATATCAGCTTGAATGCGAGTTCGGCTATCAAGGGGGACTGTCTCATGTTTCTGGGGCCCGAGGCACAAAACATCCAGAGTTCAGCGATTTGGTTTGGGAAGAGGCGCATGTGCGTGAATGTGCCGTTTAGCGTTGCATCGTTTGTTCCCATGAGAGTCTTTACGAGGCCAACTCGGTGCAACCTGGAATTTGGCGGGGCCCAGTGGACTACTATCCCAATTTTGCAGCCAGACCAGACTGGCAAAGATTTTGTGTGTTCAATATTCATGCACGTGACCGACATCTACTGTTGAGATTATGTCAAGGTCCATTCAGTCCATCCAGGGTTAGCAAGTTATCTCCCTGAGCTATTTTATGCCCCTTAAGTGCGGACGTTTTAGAACTTGCCCAAGATGGAAACCCAGATCGATTGAGCACAATCTGAGGCAACATCTTTTGAGACGAAGGATGACTCTTGACTTTAACAATTCTTTCGAGTCGCAAACTTTTGAGACTTTGTCTTCCCACGCTTCCAGATGATGGCTCCAAGGTTGCCTTCAGCTGGAGCGGCATCCCCTTGTCTATCAAGAGACAGGCCTGGAAGCATGGCGGCGTGATACGGCGTGAACTGATTGCTTAGCGCCACCTTCGTTGCACCATAGAAAAGGACCAGGATCTATGTGATGGAAATATGAATATGTGGAAGCATGTGGACACCATAGTCGGTTTTAAGAGACAGTGTCCTTTTGGTGATGAGGTGCAGTTCAGTTGCAAGGGATGTGAGACAAAGAAGGCACCTTGCGATTGCGCTAGCCAGAAACTCAGAATGATATTGCAAAGACTTGCCAGCAATGTCATTGCGCACGCCCATTGTGTGGTGACCCAAGGCGTTCCGTATGCCTTTACCGTAAGCAACATCAAGGCAAACAGTCGGTCTGCATCCTTCCAGAAGCAACTTTTGGGAACGCAACTTCAAGGGACACATGACTTCAGAGCCAAGTTGAACCAAGGAATATATATATATACACATAGCTTTCAAGGTTCACTCAAGTCACACAACTTGGACTTTTTGTGTTCCCACTTGAGATGTCAAAGGTGAAGCACTCGGCGCCTCCACCAAGCGAGCCGGTCAGAGAGTCACCTGGATGAAGGGATGTCGTAGATTTCTATTCACGCAGGTCATGGTCAGAGTATTTTTTGACGAACCGTTTGAAGCAAGACTGCTCCAGAACCGTTTGAGAACGTGTATTTCCCACTTATGGCAAACTCGTCGGAGTCCCGGACTTGTATTTGGCTTCACACAGGGCATCAACCGGGAATGGAGGAGGAGGGGGTGGAAGCTCTTTGGCCACTTGGAAGCAAACTGCTTCATTTCAAGCTGCAGATTGCGACGGCAGCTTGGCTTTGCTTCTGCAATGTCATTCTGAGGTGATGACAATTCTAATTCCCATGGGAATAGCTCTAGCGGCGGCTTGGTCCAATAGTATGATAAGTACCTTGCACGAGGAAGCCCGCGCAAGCATTTTGAGATTGACAAAGACACCCAAAAGACCGTTGACCGCTTCAATCCCATTCAGGTCGCGGCATGCGTGGCCTTCTTGTGCTGCTACGTTTGTAGCGAGGCAGGGCACGGTAACAGGCAGTTCGAGATTTTGGACACACCTTCTTTGCGGTGAATACCTTGTTTTTTTTGTTGTCAAATTCATCGCCTAGCCTTGAAAGTGCAAATTGGCCTTTTTCGTGCAAAGCACTTGGCTTTTGAGGATGATGTTGAGAATGTGCGGGAAAGTCCCACACTCAGCTTTTGAGTTCCACCCTTGAAGATTTGCAAAGATTCATTGACCAAGACAACAGAAGCCATTCAGGACGAAGAAGAAAGCGGCTGGTGAAATGCCAAGATTCTTCTGAGAGTAGCACCGATTGATCGCTGATGCTTTTGATGACCAGTCATGCGGATTGGTCTACATCAAGTCCAGAGCCGTGAGTCGCAAAGGTTGTATAGCACTGCAGTAGCAGGTGTGAATTCGGACTTTGCCTGACGCGAGCCCACGTGTTCATATTCAGTTCACCTTGATTCTTTTTTCTTGGTTTCAAGAGTCAATCTATGAGAAGTTCACAAGCTTTTGCTTGATAAACAAAGTATTGTGGGTTCAAGTTCAGATCAGGCTTGCGCGAATGTGGAGACAATTGCTTTTGCTATTTAAGGCTGTGCCGGTCCAATTCGCCAGGGCGTCCGTAGATGTCGGGTTCTCCTTTGTTCACCTTTCGCGGAGTTGCCATTTCGGCAACGCCATTTTGTGAGACCCAGAGTTCTTGCCTTGCGTTTGGGATTGGCCGTGCACTTAAGCAAGCAGGCATTTCACCGCCGCTTCCAAGATGTAGTGCTAATCGCTTGTGTCACACATTTTCCAACCAAGTTTGCCCAGTCTCGCCAACAAGGTGATACCACAGCACATAACCTAGGACCTAGATTCATAGCATGTTGCACTACCATTTAGCATTTTGGTGATCACCCTGGCTGCCTGGTTAGAAAGCTTTGAGAGTTAAAACAGGGAGGTGGAAGGGCTGTTCGAAAGGCGCTTCTTCTTGTCGGTCCTACCCAGTAGCTGTGATGTTAGATGTCCAGGCTCCGATCCAAGCACATATGAGATGATGCAGAAGGTGCAACTGCTAAGTTTGCTACTGAATTGTGTGAACAGTTTGCTGCCAAATCAAGGTGAAGACCCTCCAAAAGCGCTTGATCTCAAAGACGGAGGAAGCCGTTGAGAAGGAGTGACAAGACCAACCTCCACAAACAAGGGTTTTTTGGGGAAACACGGCCTATAATACAGGTTTGCATTACAGATACTAGTTTTGTGGGAATGATCGACAGAAGCATTGTGATTGAATAATGCACGTGTTACTTTTTCTCTTTCTTCGTCGCAGATGCCTGCACGTTGAAACGATAAGTGATCCCATTTATTGAGACGTTCAGACTTATTTTGGCAGCTAGTCTTTGGGAAGCCTAGGTCTCTTGAAATTCTTCTCCAGGACCTGGCCCTCCAAGAGAAAGAGAAGCTGTATTTGGAGATGAGGAGTTTCTTTCGATACAACGACGAACAGACAAACATACTACGGGAAAGACCAGATTGTTTGTGCGTAGTGTGTGTGGCGTGAAAGAATTCCAAAGACTTGAGGAATTTACTCTCCAAGCAGCCAGGTCCGGAGGTGGTCAGAGGCCAAAATTAATCACAGAATAGTCCTGAATAGTCTATTTTAGGCTTGCCCTGAAGTTTTGCCGAGCGCTTTTAGACCATTCTAAGGTCGAAGAGGTTGGCAAGCAGCAGAACAACCTGAAGGAGAGTATACTCTCAATAGAAAGGACACACAATCTTCTTTTGAGTTACTAGTAGCGATGGCCTCCAACCTAATAGCGATGGTATAATCTTTCATGACGAGAATATTCGGCTCTCTCTTTCAACTCAGATGCCACTGAAGATGAGTGGCAACTTGCTTCGCAGGAGAAGACAAAGCAGATGAAGGCTGGGAAAACAAGTGCAATACACTCATGAAGACAATTGCAGGCCAGCAACGACATCTTGCCCCTAACATGCTGCAAAAGAGCTTCCTACACCTTTCTTTAGACTCATTTTCACAGGTTTTGCTCTCCACGATTTTACATATTGAGCTGCACTTGCTATCTGGTTCACACTGTTCGCACTTTTTGCGCTTTCTTCGCACTGTTTCGCTGTTTCGCACTTGTCCTGCATTTATGCCACAGTTTCTTCTCTTTATCTTTCTTTGCACTACATTCGTTCACGACTTCTTTCACGCCCTTTCTCTGTACTTTGTCTGTTTTTGTTTGTGTTCCGCCACTGTTTGTGCACTTTCTCCCGCTTGGTTCCGCATGTGTTTTTGTTTTTGCACTTCCTATCACACGTCAATTGTTTGCGTTTCGTCATTGGTCATTTGTACTTTCTGTTCACTTTTTCTGCATTTTGGGAACCGTCACTGTGTGTTTAGTTCAAACGTGAGTCTTACTGTATGTTTCTGCACTTCTGCCACACTCCTTTCTCGCTTCTGATTTGCACTTTCATACCTTCTTTTCACAAGTAAAAGTACACATACATTACTTAGCGTTTTCATTTTTGCAATAAGCTACTAGGAACAAAGTGCATCGCTTCTAGTAACAAGTGCCTTACCAGTAGTAACAAGAAGCTATTAGATACTAGGAACAAGTGCATCGCTTCTAGTAACAAGTGCCTTACTAGTAGTAACAAGAAGCAATTAGAAACAATAAGCTACTAGGAACAAGTGCATCGCTTCTAGTAACAAGTGCCTTACTAGTAGTAACAAGAAGC